AGATAATATTATGTAATTTTTTATTTCGTAAGAGTCGGTTTGTTTTTTAAAAGAAATTTTATTGGATCATGTATTGAATATAAATGATTTTGTAATTAATTATTATAATAGATAATATTGATTTTTGTCTTAATTTTTCTAAATGAAATATTGTAATAATTTTGGAAATATTTTGTTTAATAATTAATTATCTGAACTTTTTGTAACGAGAACATTTCTATTAACGTTAAATCTATTTAATTTTATATCCCTAATTAAAATTTTTAATACAAATCAATTATTTAGATCCCGATTATGGTTTGTATATTTGAATTAAATGTAAACTCGTGAAATTTTTATTAAGATCTTGATAAATGATTATTTCAAAATGTTACATTAGATTGATTTGGTTATTTCTTCTACTTCTTCTTTTTTGTTTTTTAATGATCAAAGATTTGAGATTAGGGTTGAAGTATTAAGGATTACGATAGAATTACGTAATGACGAGAATGTGACGCGTTAAAACAGAGATAAACTTGTCCTCGTGCATGCGGGTGAGCTTGTTCAGATCCGGTTGGATAAGAAAGAATGATTCATTGGCAGTATTTTTGCTAACAGTGACTAGGCTTTCGAACGAGAATTCCAAATCGTAGACTAAAAGGATAAAGGATGTTGTACTGTAAAATAATATAATTTATTTACATCGTGATTCATTATTAAGTTATTATATTTTATTTGTTCGTTGTCCTATAAGTGTACACACAAATTTAATTTCGAAACATTTAATTGATTTAGAATAATTCAGGCTCATTGAATTCCAAAATTAAATCAATTAAATAATTAACAAATATTTCAATATAACCAATTGCAAATATTATTTATAAAATATATCCTCAATATATTTTATTTGTTCTGTGTCCTATAAGTGTGCAAATAACGTTTAAACTTTGATTTAATATTCAATTGATTTAGAATAATTCAGGTTCATTAAATTTCAAAATTAAATCAATTAAATAATTAACAAATATCTCAATATAACTAATTACAAATATTATTTAACAAATAAATCCTCAATATAT